TCATTTTATTATTATTTATTATTTGTAGCCCTGTAGCCCTGAAATCAAGGCCCAGGAGCCCTTGTGATAGGTATAGTACAGACATAAGATGGACCCTGCCCCAAGAGGCTTACAAACTACACATAAGACAAGAGACAACAGCAAGCGGTATTTAGTTTTGATTATTTCTGGCAGTGCATCACAGTGTGCCGTACGTCATACACTGGAGAAAGGTGGGCTAAGGACTTGGCTCTCATGAGTTGTATTCCCTGGTCAACTGCCAGCTTCCTAAGTGACCTTGTACAAGTCTGTTTTTCTCTGTTTCCCTTCTGTAAAATGGGGATCATAACACTAACCTGCCTCCAAGAGGACTGCAAGGCTTCATTCATGAATGTGTGCAACCAGCTTTGAGAGGCTTGGCGGGAAGATGTTAGAGAAGGACCAAGTGTTATTTAATGTTCTGCAGCAGATTTGGTAAAAGTGCTGAAGTGTCCGTGATCCAGCACTCAGCTATTAAATATTTGCTGGGATGTGTGGCGAGATGGCCAGATTTCCATGGGCGAATGATCAGGTTTGCAGATTAGGAAGGGGAGAATTAGCGAGGCTGCTCTGCGTTGTATTTTGGATTGTAGTAGAAAAGGCTGCTCTTTGCTTTCTGCCCAGGTAAAAACAGGTGCAATGTGGTCCTGATATTTGCTTTTCCAACCTAAATATCTGTAAGATTCTGCTAGGGAGAGAATGTATTATTACCACAGAGCCAGTGAACTCATACAGTGCTAAAAGCAATGCATTGCAGAAGTCCTTGGGTTGCATAATATTGCTAGGATCATGAATGACCTTAATCCCAAAGACTGTAGTTTGCTGTGATCTGCTTGTGCTTTTGTTAGTTCCAACTTTCACAGCTCAACTGGAATTTGTAGGTGGGCGGCAGCTATTTTTTGGTGGAAATCCCTCTAATTCAAAGGCGAGTCCGATTCTGCCTCTCCTATATGGCCAGGGATGTCCCTCAGGCACAGCTTAACTGGAGCGGTTCTGCTGCACATGGGTTCATGGGGGCAGTGTTTGTGGAAACCAGCGTGCCTGTAAGCCCAGCTGCATGGGGTCTCTCTGGGGGCTGCCACACAGAGGAGGCTTGGAGGGTGGATGGCCCAGGGGAGGAGCAACAGTGAGGCTGGCAATTCTATGACTCTGGAATCCACTGACTGAAGTCCCCTTATCCCCTATAGAGCACTGTTTGCGGGACTGCAAGGGTCATCAAGTCCAACCCCTTGCTGAGATGCAAGATGTGTTGGTGCGGTGTGACTCCATTGAATTCAGTGGTGTTTACATCAAGCAGAGTGGAATTTGTGCCCAAATCTGTTGGAGTAGAGGGGTGTGCCTGGCTTTTCTAGAAAGGGGTGGGGGAGTCGGGGCTCTCAGGGCCATGTCATGAGGGTGAATGGCCAAGATACAGAGTGGTTACTTAGTCTAGATGTAGAGGATCTACAGGATAAATTGGTTTCTCTCACTCAGGGGGCACAGTGGATGAAGCAAGGTGCTGCCCCTGAGCTCTATGTGGGTGGTAAGATGTGACCTATTGTGATCTTTGGACCAAGATGGAAGCATGGATAGTGGAAGGTGCAGTCACGTGCTCTGTGTTGAAGGTAATGCAACGCTGGCCTGTAACAGACAAAAAGACTGGAAGAGGATTTGGCCAGGATGTGCAGGGTGCATTCCTGAGAGAGAGGTTGAATGGCTATGGTGTCCCTCTGACCTGATGATCCTAGTTGCTACCACATACCCTTGGGGCTACAGGCAACTAGGTCTAGTTTAGAGGTAGCCTTGGTAACTGATCTGGTCCCCGTTCAGTCCCAGGAACAGGGGGACACAAAGGTGGTGATATTTACAGCCATCTTTGTCCCCTCCCCTCCTCAACTGCACCAAGCAAGTCTTGGCTACCGCTTGAGGCCATGGCCCAATGCTTTTCCTGAGGCCATTTGACCTGCGGTTTCCAGAACATCCCTGTGACTATAACTGTTTTAATTAAATGGTCTCTTTGATGGATGGTGACGGCTGGACATCCTGATGGCTGACACTGGCTTTCTCGATTATTATTCACTGTGCAGTCTTTGGCATAATTTAGTAACTGACTGTCCAATACATTGTAACACTGTGATTGCAGCTATCTATATATTATATTAAGAAGTATCATTTATGCAAGGAGACGGGAAGGAATAAGTACATACTAGACCAGGGAAAGCCCATTGCCCTTGGGAGCTGATATTACCAAATGGTTCCATCCACTTGGATCCAACAGCCTCTGTCCCAGTACATCATGTGCATGGCTTTGTTTTGCACTGCACCGTGAGGTCCTGTCGTGCGACAGTCCTTACTTGTGCTCTCTCTATCAGAGAGTGTGAATGAGTCAGCAGCAGGGTAGGGAGGTGAGCTGTTCTGTCTGTCCTTCTCTTAGTAACCTGACAAGTTTGTTACGGGGATGTGCACTTTCATCCTAGGTTTGCATAGGGTGACCAGATAGCGACTGTGAAAAAACGGGACAGCGGGTGGGGGGTAATAGGCGCCTATATAAGAAAAAGTCCCCCAAAAATGGGACTGTCCCTATAAAAACAGGACATCTGGTCACCCTAGGTATGCAGGTCTCACCGGATAAGCACATGCCAATGTCCAGATGAGGAAAATCCTGGGCCATATCCTGCAGGAGCAAAGGGACCGTAGAGTCTAGGGACTGGACAGTTTACAATAGGCTGCATTCACTGGGACCCTGGATCAGGTCAGATCCATCCAGGTTTGTTTTGTTTGTTCGTTTTTTCCCTCACAACTTCCTAGGCCCAGCCACTCTTCTTCAGCTATTTCTGTTACAGAGGCCTCATTGCTAAGCTTGGTATGGAGACAGTGGGAGTTTCAGCTATGCTGAAACTAACTTTACTAAGAAGGGTCTGCAAAAATTACACCTATTTTTTAATTAAACCCATGTGTGCTGTCATCTTCCTTGGGATTGTGCTTAATGCGAGCTTAGAAATAAAGCCACCAGGATCACTCAAAAGCATGTCCCAAAGTCCTCTCTACCTCCCACAAGCCTGCTAACATCTGCTCATCAATTCCTGTTCCAGTTCTCCAACACTTGAATCCTGCAGGTTGCTTTGTGAAATACAGATCCTCTCGCTGACCCACCATCCCTTGCAACATCTCAACCCCTTTCTGTCTAAGCCTCAAAATATTCCATTCTGCAGACCACAAGGAAGGACCATGGCTGGACCTGGATCTCAGCATGGTGATTAGTGCTGTAAATTATGGATGTCAGGAATGCTGAAAGGGAAGAGGGAGAAAAAGTAATGCATGTTCTCACCGCATTAGAACTTTTTTCTCTGCTATGTGTCTCATTTTGGGTCCTGCTTGGAAGAAGACGGAGAGATACCCTGAGTCTCTAAGAATTACAAAAGTAACTTGCTTTGCTTAGAAAAATGCCTAATTGACTGCTGTGTACTTCAGAAAGTATACTGCACGTATATTTCTCTTTAACCTTTCACAGCATCAAGGGTTACATATATAGCACAACAATATCAGCCACAGGCTGCCTCGGAAGCTCTCCAATCGTAATAACAAAAGACATGTATACTATATTTTAGCCATTAAGGAGAAGACCCTGCCAGAATGCATTATCTTACTTTAGTTGCAAAACTTTGAACTGCAGAATGAAGCCTCATGATGTGGCAAAATAAATTGAAACGTGACAAAATATCCGTCTGAGAACAGAGGAATTTCCATAACTGAATTGATCAATGGGCCATCTTCTAGTCCAGGATCACATCTATAACAGTGGCCAATGCTAGATACTTAGATGAAGCCAGGAATCTCTCTTACTGACTTCAAATGGACAATTCCATCAGGAGGTACCATTCTGGACATCTAGTCTCATTCAAAGGAGGTGAGAGCACATAGTCTAGTCCTAAACTGATTAACATCTGTTAATGGAAGTTTTCCATTCTAAAGGCCAGATTTGGCCGCATTTCTGTGAGATACCTAGTGAGTAGAGCACTGAACTGGGACCCAAGAGGCCTGGCTGTGATACTGACATGCTGGGTGACCTTGGGCAAGTCACATCTTCATTCTGTGCCTCGGTTTCCCCATCTATAAAACAGGAATAATGATACTGACCACCTTTGTAAAGTGCTTGAAGATCTACTGATGGAAAGTGCTATATAGGAGCTAGCTACTATTATTATTATTCACATTGAGCAGTACTTAACTCTGACCTGGCTTCAAGCACTTTAGCACATGCTTAACTTTAAACACATTCTTTACTCCCATTGAAGACAATGGGATTTAAGCAAGTGCTTCAAGATAAGCACGTCCTAAAGCGCTTTCCTGAGTTGGGACCTCCCAATGATTTGGGGCTGTTCCTGGAATAAGACATTACTTGGCATCAATACAGGTAGTAAAGTCTGGCAGCTAGGAGATTATAGCAGACAGGTCAATACTAGCTTTTCGAGAGCTATCATTTTTCATGAAAGAGACAAGTAAGAAAACAGCAAATGCAATGAGAGTAAAAGGCAATCCAAATATTGATTCTTGCACATTCAGAGAAACCCAAAACTTTAACAAAACCAGGGTTTCTTAAAACTGGGGGGAAATTCAATGGCCTACTGATCAGGCTGGCAAATACAAAGGGATTTTGGATTAGAGTTTCACAACGTCAGGGTTTACCTCTATACTTAAGATGGATAGAACCATAGAAAATTGTGCATTGTGTGACTGTGTACATTATGTAAATATGCACTGTCTGAATGTACTAGGATATATCCATCCTTGGTGTAACTCTGTGGAAGTCAATGGAGCTTTCCCAGAGATGAATTTGCCCCATTATGGATTATAAAATTGGCCATTGTTCACAACATGATGGTGATGACAATTCAGCACTACAGCAGGGAGGCATCTGGTATGAAAAAACAATGAAATGCTAAAATCTTTTCTGTGCAAATGAAAATACTTCTCTAATTACTTTTCTCTCTTGTTTTTCCCAGACAGCGTAACTGAAGTCAAGACAGACATTTATGTGACGAGTTTCGGCCCTGTCTCAGACACAGACATGGTAGGTGCTGTATAGAGGTCTGACTCTGGGACTCTGGGCGTGTGCATTGTTCTTTTTGTACTGGGTTAATTGGACAAAAGTATGAACTATGGAAACAATGTGGCAAGAAATCTATCCAGGTTGCCTGCGAAATTTCTACTCAAGCATAAAATCTGGGTAGTGTGCATTATTATTTGTCATTTGCAATAGTGGCAGCCAGCAGATATGGAGCTGGAGATATCTTCAAGAGGGCAACAGTCACAGTAATTCAAGAAGCATAAATTCGTACAGCATAAACCACAGAACTAGATGAGGTCTCATTCCTCTGTAACAAATACCAAGAAATCCCATTCTGTTGCTTTTGGTGGGAGCTTAGTGCAGAAAGCAGTTGCAATAGAAGTTCAAAAAAAGACTCTATTTTGGTTTCACATCTTCTTCTCAATTCCATTTTGGTTTTTGGAAATCCACCAAACATAATCATTGGCATTACTCTAAATCCAGGTACAATAATCTGTGAAGGAATTTCTGTCAGTATCCTTTGGACTAGAACTGGATGAAGGTTTTCAATCAAAGCTCTTTTTCGGTGACAAATGCAGATTTGTTAACACCAAAACGTTTTGCAGATTCATGTCAGTTTTGCTGAATTGTTCATGTTGAGAAAAAAGCACCAACAAAAAACATTCTACAAATGTCGAAAGATTTCAACATTTTCAAAATGAATCATTTCAATGTATCAATTCAGAACAACTTTTTGTTCAAAATTTCCAAAATTTAGAAGTATTTTAAAAAATGCTCAAACTGAAACAGAACATTTTGGTTTGGGTCAAACAAAACATTTCATTCGCCCTGAAATGAATTTTTTTCAACTTCTTGGTTCAACAAAAACGCTTGAAAATTTTTCATTTTGTGTAGACCCAAAATTATTTTTTTATTATTATTATTGTTTTTCAGAACTGCTAGCAAAACAAAAAAATCAGTTATTCACACAGCTCTATTTTGCAAGCTAAGGGTACTTCTATATAGGGCTAAAAGAAACTCAGCACAGCCGCAGCTGGCCCAGGTCAGTTGTCTTAGGCTAGTGGGGCTTGGGTTGTAGGGCTAAAAATTATGATGTAGACTTTTGGGCTTGGCTGGAGGCTTTGCCAGCTGGTCCTGGCTTGGACAGCTGTGGCCATGCAGCAGGTTTTTTATCCCTGTGTAGACATGGGCCAAAAGGTGAAATACTGGCCCTGTTGAACTTGATGGGTATTTTTCATTGACATCGTGGGGGAGAGGGGGGCAGGATTTCTCCCTATGTTTCATTGCTCAGCGCAGCCATTTGGGACATCCAGGTGCATGGAAGGGAGAGGGGAGGAGAGACATGTTTACTCACCAGAAGGACGTCCATGGAAACCGAAAGCATTTTCTAATGTGGTCCAATTGTATCTCCAATTGCTGGGACACGTTGTGCCGCTTCCCATCAAAAAGAGGCTTAGACCCCTGCTCGTTCTTTTGATTTAGAGGAGCATGGATCTTGTCTTTTAATCCTTTTTTTCCTGCCTGATGAAGCTAGGGTGTTTTGCGTGTTTTTTTCAGTGAGTGCAAACAAAGGGAAGCAAATTGGGGGGTACCACCAAAAGAGCAAGAGCTTCCTACAGCATGATTCTGCCTCCCTTACTCATCTTGAGTAGCATCTTTCTTCATAACCAGCCCCGCTTTCTTCATTGTGAGTACTCATGGAGTAAATTACGCGGTAAGAGTGTCAGATTCTGACCCTATGTAAGTGGGGCAGACCATCCCCCTTCCTTCACCAAACTGCCCTAAGTGCCTGAGGCAAATATACAGGGTAAGAGAGAGAGAGAGAGAGAACAAGTGAACTGACTGGCATATTCTGACATGTTTAATGAAAATTATTAATGAAAAGGCCTGAGGACTGAATCTAGGTTTGCATTCCCTCAACAGTTTGTCTTCTAATTAAAACAGAACTGTAGAGCATAATTAACAGTGAGCTTTCTCAAAAGCATTTCTTGCAGCTTGTATTGCACAAAAAGAGGATTTGGTAGTTTGTGTTTATTTTTAAATTACATGCTGGCATCATTAGTGGGGACCGACACCCTGGTGTGTGCCTCATCTCTGAGTGTCATTTCATCTTGGATTTCCCCACACTATTGGATGCTTTTTTGGCTTGAAGGTTCTCCCTAGCAGGGGGACAAGAATTGAATCCAAGCAGGCTTGGGCAGGATCAGTGTCCTAAAACAACCTTCCTCCAAACCTCTAGACCCTAGAGGATTTCATTCTCCATGTTCATTCAGCCACGGACATCTCTCCTGCTGCTCTACCAACGGGCCCTCACTCAGACTATTAGCACTGGTGATCAGAGGAATTAGATGAGAATTAAATCTCTGAATTTCGTTCTGATGCCTCCCCCCATCAGAGGAGTCTGTCTTGCTTTGGAAGGACCACTCCCTGCAGGGTTAAAAGTTAAGTTAATGTCACTCTAGCTGAGAGTATTAATCTCATCTGAGTTCTCTCTATCCATCTTGTTCTCTTTCACACCACAGCAAAGACTAATAATATATTCAGCAATCCCAGCCCTTAGGGAGTATCTGATAATTACTTTCAAGGTGGAGCATATTTGATTAAGGGAGCATGTATAATGAACTGTGAAGAAGAAATATGAGGTATTGAAAAGAGGAAACTATTCTCCACTGTGTGATTTGACAAAATGAATTTAAAATTATAAAGACAGTTAAAGAATAATAAATTTTCTCTCCTCTTGCATGCTTTAGTTCCATAGATTTTGCCTGTGCATAGCAGATGTGCTACTGCGTGCAGTTCTGGTGCTGAGCACACTTTGAAATGGGTGCTCAAGAGAGAACTCCACAGGGAAAGGAGGATGAACTTGCACCTTTCTCAGGATTGTTTTCCTATCTTAGATAGAAAAGTGAGGAAGTCACTCCTTCCACACTGGCATCTGTCTGATGATCCAGCCCCTGCGCGTACCACAGCCATCATTAGCTGCGATTGAAAGGCTGCCTTGTGCATCCAGATTCAGACAGATTATAATGATGATGAGGGGCCTGGGTGGTAAGGCAAATAATGTTTGCTGTTGAGAGCGGAGAGCAGCTGATTACTAACTACAGAGGAGTGTTGTCTGCTTCTGTCTGACATGGGGTGGGAGGGACTCCAGACTCACGAGCTATTCAACATGAAAAGCATTGGCTGATAAGGTCCACGCTAATGTCAGATATTAGGTGTTCCAGCTGTCCCTCAGCCTGTTAACTAGAACACAGATGAGAATCGGAAAAGTTTCTGTGCCCTGTAGAATGGACTCTGGAGAGGGGCCCTGAAGAGGAGAAGAACCTGAGCCAGGTTTCTGGCATGGATTTTAGTCACAACCCGGGATGGAGAAGAATGTGACCTATAATTTTTGGCTCACCTGGAATGGTGTGTAGGTGCAGGCACTGGGAGGAGGCAAATCTGAACTGGGGGGTCTGCTCTCACATGGGAAGGGCACTGGGGGGCAGAGGAAAGAGACCCTGACCATGGTTTCTCTTCTTCTGAGGATTAGACTCTTAGTACAGAAGGAGAAAAAGAGGAGCTGAGGTTGTGTTCTCTGTGGTATAGTTTGGGAATTGTTCATCAGAGTGAAGGTCCTGAACTAGATTTCTCTTCTCCCTCTGAGAAGGACTCTTTCTCTCCTGACACGGAAAGGAGCAGAGGGCTTTGTTTCACTGTACTTGTTGCTAAGCCTCTTGTCCCCACGCTGCCAAAGAATCATTCAGGGGGCCTTGGAGAGAGATTGCTGCACTCTCTGTTAAAGATGGTTGCTTACAGGCTCCCAAAGGGACCATGGTTAAAACTACAAACTGCAGGTTAAAATATACGGGGGATTTCAGAGAGGAGAAATCATGGGAACAAATGCCCCTGGCCTGGCACACTCTTGTGTTCCTATTTGTTTAGCTACGATTGCATGCCTCATACAGCAGGGCAGAATCTGATGCTAGGCATTTATTTATACCTTGTGGTCAGCAGCATCTGGATGAAGATGTCATGTGTCAGAATTCTGTTTGATTCAGCATAAGAAAAAAATGAAGGCACAGACCCACAGCTGTAGTAGAGCCGCATCATTCCATTGATTGTAATGGAATAATATCCATTTTAGAGCTGGACAAATAACAGATTTTTCACTTTGTTGGCAATTTCAAAAAGTCAGAAAAAAAAATCATTTCAGGTTGGACCAAAAATTACAGGTGAAGTGAAAAGCTGAAAAATAATTGTTTTTGTGTGAATGAAATGTTTTGCTTCCACCATTTTAAAATGTTTTTGAACTTTAGTTTAAAAATTAAAGGATGAAAAGTCATTTTAAACTGAAAAAAATTGGAAAGTTGCGTTTTGAAAATGTCAAAATGAAACATTTTGGTTTTTTTTCAGAACATTTTTCCATAAATGAAACATTTGGCAAAACCAACATGAATTCATGAAACATTTTGGTGTCACCAAATCTGAATTTTTCAGCAAAAAAAGTGTGTGACAAATTTCACTCAGCTGTAGTCAATTTACTTCAGCTGAAGACCTGAGCCAAGCCTCTAAAGGGCCAAATTCAGTCTTAGTATAACCCCACTGGTTTCAAAAAGAGTTACACCCAGATTAATTTGACCCCATGTGTCCTGTCCTAATTCTAATTTTATCCAGGTTTAAACATATCTCCTGCATTTCTGGGTTCCTCGTTCTTGGTAAAGTTCATTTCTGTTCTCCCAGTGAATAAAATCGATTTCTATATTATTAATCCGGTGCTAATTGCATGCCTGCAGGATCCCCGAGTCCTGACCTTTCATATGTGGGAACCATTACAGACATCACTGAAATGCAGCCATCTCTGGCTTGAAAAGTGGTAGCTGTTTGATGGTGCTTGGCAGCACTGCACAACAATTTAGGACTGAAAGTGGCTTAGAGTATAGTCCTGATGTTTTAAACATGGTTGCATAAAGTTAGGCATCTGAATCCATATTTAAGCACAAATCATTAGGATCTACCTGTGGTGTCAGTTGCATCCTCTGCTTCCTGTTATCTTGAAACTGCTGTGCAATGTCGCTGATACAGAATGGCTGAGGAGTGCCACTCTAGGAGTGGCTGCATTTCATTGTTTGGTGTATGATCCCAATGGCATATGTACAGTGTATACGGCACTTTGAGGTGAAAGATGTAGATGAATACTACAGGGTATTCATGTAAAGTCATTATACCAGAGGTAGCAATTCCAGCTTGCCTTCGGGTCTTATCAACCCTGGAGAATGCTGCCCTGCTAAATACCTCTTGTTCCCACTCCAGTGATTGAAATGCCACTCCGGTCCACAGTCATGAGTGTAGTGCTCCCAAAGCCCCATTGCACTCAACGAAGGGAACCGTTTTCATTCTCTGGAATTTATGGGATGGCATGCAATGAAGAACTAGATAAAATCAGGTTTGATGTGCTTTCCTCTCTCCCCCTAGGAATACACCATTGATGTCTTTTTCCGGCAGTCCTGGAGAGACGAGCGGCTTAAGTTTGATGGCCCCATGAAGGTCCTCCCCCTTAACAACCTGCTGGCCAGTAAGATCTGGACTCCTGACACCTTCTTTCACAATGGCAAGAAATCAGTGGCCCACAACATGACCACACCCAACAAGCTGCTGCGCCTGGTGGACAATGGCACCCTTCTGTACACCATGAGGTAGGTGTGCCTCTCCAGGGCATGGACAGAACCTGAGCCCATGGTTCTGCGAAAGCCTTAGGCCCTGCGGGGAGGCCCTAGGCTGAGGTGATCCTATGGCATACTATATCCAAGGCTGTGCAAGCTTCCCACTTTTTAAGGTCCAAAATTAGTTTAATCTCTTGACAGTTGAGCTGCAGATTAATCTGCATAGTGTCAACAAGCCATCACTCCTACAACTGACAAACAATGCTTAACATTTCGTTAGCACGCTTCAAACATTCATTAATCCTCACTGTGGTCCTGGGACGTAGGTCTCTCAGGATCAATATGCTCGTGTTTCCAATGAGGAAACTGAGGCACAGAGGCTAAATGACAGGGTGTCCCTGAGTAAAGAGAAGGTGAAAATACTGGGCTTGATGCTCCACTGCCTCACACCACTGTGGACTCATTTAAACCTGTGAAAAGTGGGTATAAAATGCTGCTGCATCAGGATGGAAGAGGCATTTACACTATACTGCACTCATTTAAACCAGGAGTGATTCCATTGTAGTCAGAGGAGTTACACTGGTTTTAAATGAACGCAAGTGAAAGAAGTATCAATCTCATAGACTTGAAGGTCAGAAGGGATCATATCTGTCTGTCTTAGGTATTTATCTGGCCTCCATTACCATAAGTATCTGAGTGCCTCACTATTTTGAATGCATTTGTTTTCTCTACATGCCTGGGAGGCAGGGCAGTATGATCAGACCCCAAAGATAAATCACCACAAAGACAATACCTAAGAGAATGAGTAATAGGGCCCCCACAAAATCATATCTGGGTTTTTCTGCATTACTTAAAGGTTAGCTCGCACCCAGCTTGAGGCGGCACGAGACAACATGGAACACAGAGATGAAGGGAATCTGAACATGCTGATAAGGAGTTATAGATGTGTAGAGCATCTACATGGAAGTGGAATGAGACGCAATAAGAATGAAGCCCAAGGGTCATCAGTGTTACACCAGAGCCCATAGAGTGAAAAATAGTTGGCCTCAAATAGTCTATGGCAAGGCTATAAGACAAGAGAGCGACAAGCCACCACAATGAATGATCCAACAGATCTGGCCCGAAGCAAGGACCCCACATCCTGAGAGATACTGAATCCTTACACCCCCTGCAGTGGTTCACCATCTCTCAGGATTTACTCCCAAGAGACTGCATGGCACTGGATACCAAAAGCAGCCCATAGCCAAAATCAGGGCTTTTCATTATGTAAAATATCAAATGGCACCAGTAGCTCTGCTGCAATCCAAACTTTCCACACCCAGCTGAGTTAGTCACCACAAAGTCATTCCAACTCTTTATGAACGCAGCGTTACGTGAACATCTGGCTTGGAACTTTGGCTGCAATGGGTCATGCTGAAGTTGGAGGCCTTGTAAGAGATGGCGCTGGACAGTGTAGTCGAAAAATTTAGAAAGAATAGGGTAACAAAGACAGCAGGTTGGAAATTTTCCAACTGACAATGCCATTTCATCGAAATCGAAATGTCAGTTTTGATGAAATTTCGTTTGTAAAAACGAATCAGAACAAAGCACTCTGATAAGGGTGAAAGAGCAACCTCTGCACTTCTTAGGGACAGTGTCCCTCCTGGAACAAAATGATTTGATTTTTCATTTCAAAATGACGTATTGTTTCCAATTTGTATAATATAACATGATTAATCACAGTTAAAATTGGATTGAAATGTTTTGATTTTGTCAAAACGAGGCATTGCAATCAACCCCCAGCAAACAAAGAAATGGAATTTTGTTTCCAAGGGCATTTTGAGAATATTTTGGGTTCCATTTCATAATTCACAAAAAGGCCGATATCGCAGAATTTCCTGTGAAATAGCAAATCTGTTTCCCGCACAGCTCTAGTAACAAAGAAATGGCCAGTGCTCTGTGTAGGAAAGTGCCCATTTCAAGCCTACCACCTCGGGGTTTGCACCCTTTCCAGAAATGCAGCATGGCTTTTTGTCCCATATGTATCTAACATAGCTTCTTCCCCATGGCCCCAAAGGAAATACCTTCTGTGGGCCAGACTGGATTTGTAGGGGTGCTCAGAAGCAGGGCCACTCAGAAACAGGGCCAGTGTAAGGAGCCTCCCCTCACCTCATGCACCCTGCCTCTTAGGGGTGCAGAGACTGCTCTTTCCATGACCCACAGGAGTGTGCAGCTTTGTCTCTAAAAGGAGCAGTGAGGGGGCAGATCCATGCCCTGATCCCCTCCCCACCCCTTAGAATTGGCCCTGCCCAGGCACACTAGAGGGGATGGGGCTGCACAGTCCTGATAGCATGGTGGTGCATGCACACATGCCCAGACCTATGCAGTGATTGTACCTCTCTGAGCTCCCTTGGGAAGGTGTCGCTCTGCACTCCCTCTACTCAGTGTGTTCAGTTTAGCTCTGTATGGCACTATGCAACTGGACACACAAGATACTGCCTTCTTCCTAAGCTTTCAGCGGGTCCCTCCTAGTCCAGCCCCCTAGAGGCATCAAATGCTAAAATAAGCAATTAGAGACATTTCCACTGCTATTTGTACTGTTAGGCAACCAAACTTCTCTTCTCCAAGAGTTTGCATTCATCTGTAGCTGCTCTGCAGGAACAGCAATTCTGACACATGCATCCAGCATCCTGTGGCAGTATTCATAGCTCCTGGAGCGAGGCCTCTTCATCACGGAACTGTGCAAACCAACTGCAGCTCAGTGTCCAGAGATATCATAGCATCACAAAGCAACCTCCTCACGCAGCATCTCAAAGTAGACATCAGAACACGGTGTCAGGGCCTCGCACCTGGATTGTTTTATGGGCTTCACAAGTGTCTCCTCTCTCTGTTCCCCTCCTCCTGGCTGCTGAGTTATAGTGATCAGTGTTACTGTTCCCTACTTTCCCACCTGGTTGGAGGATCAGCAGTAGAACGGGGGCTTTAGTCCTGTTACGCAGTGCTCCCTCTGCAGTCTTGTCTGAAGCCAGCCGCAGTTTGTAGAAGCAAGTCTCAGGTGCATGTAGTTCACAAAAGCGACATTCAGCATCCCACAGTCCAAATGTAGCTCTGGACCCCAGACTGACTAACAAGTGTATGTGGATCTGCACAGGGTGTGAAAATAGCTCAACCAGAAGCAATGGGCTTGATACAGGAACGTCCGGGTGAAATCTGTGGGCTGTTTTATTCCGGTCAGCCTAGATGATCATAATGATTCCTCCTCCTGGCCTTAAAATATATGAAAATGTCACATGCCTAATTCTGTGCACAGAGCATGCAACGCTTTGAGAACCTAGCCCTTAAAGAGCCCTTCTGCTCTGCAAAGCGACTCAAAAAAGGCATTGCAGGGTTTACACACATATTGTTTCTATGACAGGTTTCAGAGTAACAGCCGTGTTAGTCTGTATTCGCAAAAAGAAAAGGAGTACTTGTTAGTCTCTAAGATGCCACAAGTACTCCTTTTCATATTGTTTCTATGATTTCCAAATTATATGTGCTCAGGTAAACAGGGGAAAAGATGTTTTCTTTCATTGCTAGCCCTGCAAACTCAACTGGGTACCTGAAAGGCAAGATGGGCTTTTTTGTTTTCAGGCACCATCTTCAAGCAATAAAGGTTCTGTGGACCAAATTATCTCCTGAGTGAAATATGTGCCGTTCCCTTGTCTTCAAAGGGGCTGCATTTGTACATTGACTCAGAACTAGTAAACTGTTGTGACTACCATTGGTGGTGGAACAGTGAGGAAGTTACAGAGAAAGCTCAGCGTAGACACAGCCTGAGTTCTGCTCTTGCTAAAGGTGTCACAGATTCCATAGTTGTTATTAACAGAGAGGGACCAAAAGCTGGAACATTAAGCCTGAGATCTGAGTCCCAAGAGCCAAATTTGTCTCTACAATTTAGCTTCCATGTTGGATCCAAAAGCAGAAGAGGCTCATTTCCCTTTCAGTTTCTGTGCAGCCGAACTGTTGCAAGGACCAGTCTTAGATGGCAGAAATCTCATAAGACTAGCTGATCCCCATCTTGGGTTGAAATTCTGCCATTTGGGGCTGAAATTTTCTGAAAACAAATCATGAGATTTTCAGTGCTGTCAAATCCAAAGTCTGAATCCTAGAAGTGACTCAGCCTTGAACCCAAACCCCAGACTGGAGCCTAAACCCAACCCAGAGCTGAACCCCACCTGTTCAGTCTACCTGTGATTATTGAGGAATAGCCTGGGGCAGCAAAGTGAGTTTTAGAAAAGGACAAAGCCAAAATGATATAACTGGCATAAACAAAGTCTCTGGTGCTGCGCAGGGTACTATACTGCTTTTGTGCCATATATAGACCAAAGGATTATCACATTTAAGTCCAAGAAATTGGAATGAGCCACTAGCACTACATACGTAACAGCATGAGCGATAATGACACATCAAAGGTTTTGATAATCTCATGGTAACCATGAGAACCGAAGCTGAAGTGGTTTGTAGTACCATCAGTCCTGGAGAGGTGTATTTAGCCTGATACACACTTCTTGCCATTGGATTTAGCTGTTTAAAGGAGCTCAACTGATTGTATGAAGGAAAACGTAATTTCTTCCTGTGTGTCTAATTTTTGTCAGGTTGTTTCTGGTGGGGGTGGAACAGGAGAGAAGAAAACTTAGAGCTTGCAGGGTGATTTCAAGACCACTATAAACAAAAATTGTGTTGCAGGTGGGTGGGACGGAGAAGATTACTGATTAGAGGGTAGAAATGGTAGGATTATGAGATCAACTAGACCTGGGAGAAATGTTTTGGACCAGTAATTTATTTGCTGAAAACTGCAGGTTTGAATTGATTGAAACTGTTGTGAGTTTGGGTCAGATTCAGTGAATAGTTTCAGCCAAGAAAAAAAAAGACGATTTTTTTTCTTTACGTCAAAACATTTCAGTGCAACCTTTTCGAAACAGAACGTTTCAACTCTTTGTTGTGAAATGAGGTTTTGTTGTGAAGTCTAGTTCATTTTATTTAAAACAAAACAAAACAAAGGATTTTTTAAAAGA